ATCATCTTCATCATCATCATCATCATCATCATCATCATCATCGTCACCACATTAGGGACGCTGAGCCCGGTTCTCAGCAAGTTCGGTTCGGTTTTTCCGGGCAGACTGTGAGGACCCCGGCCTCATTTCTCTGATTGGTAATATCAGCCTTGGGCACTATGCCCGTTTAAAAAAAAAAAAAAAGGTCGCCGACGATGTGCCCCTCGTGTGCTCGACTCCACACATACGCGKGGTGGGAGGCGGAGGTGATGGCGATGGACCTTCACGGGGCACTCACGAAGTCGTGACGACTTATAATGACTCCACTGCGCCGCTGCAAATGCCCGTTTCCACCGTCGCCAATATGGATGCCCCCTGCCCTGTGTCGCTGCCGTGACGACCAGCACACAAGTTGAAATTTGATTTTCGAACGGGGACTCGAGGTCGGGTTTATTGCTGTTTAAGGGTTTTTTTGCCCCCCATCGCCAGCACCTTTCAAAATTTCCCGCCTTCGGCAGCTAGACCACACCGTAGCGAGATGGACACCACCCAATGGACCAAGGCATTGCCCCCCCCAAGGCCGACTGTAATATTATGAAAATGGCTGCCGGGGGCCAAAAGGAATCATCCTTGGGATACCAACCCAAGGAAAGGTGGAACGACGGCAGTAATTTCCTTCAAAACACTGAAGGAACTTCCGTCAACCCTGAGGACGCCCCCCCATTAGTGTCTAACGAGCCCCTAGCTCAGTTGGTACACCTGTGAATTGTCGTAATACGGACCCAAGTTCGAGCCTGGATGAATGACATAAAATAATTCTGAATTACCTGGGGCCAGCCAGTTCAACGACGATATCTCAAGGCTGTCGCCCTTTTTCACAAAAAGAACAAAATGAAAACAACAGAATCAGACTAAAGCACCCCCCTTTGGGCCTCGTTTGACACCACTACAAAACCCTTACATGGAAGGTTTTCATCGTTCCACCCCTCCCAAATCACAAAGAAAAAGAAGCCGAACTTGTTTTCACATTCGCGGCCGTAAGGGCGGGCCCTACAAAAGTAAGGACTCCACAGCCAAAACGGACCTTAGCGTAAGGACGGCCGTGGAGGTGACTTGAAAGTAGGGGGTGGCACCCGTACATCTGCAAAAAACCGTTTTTTTTTGGTTGTTTTCTACGTCATGTGTGTCTTGGGCATTCCTGGTCCAACGGCGGTGTTGTCCGGTAGGCCGTGGGAATCAGTCCCATGGCAAACTCCAACGGCCGTGCGGTGCCCCGCCTGTGCCCCCGCAGTCCCTCCTCCCTCCTTCCCTTACCCCTCCCACCCGCCAGCCGTAGTCCGTTCACCGTCTCCATGTGCCGACAGACCGCAAGGATGGCACTGGCGACCATGGTTTGAAAATAAGATAAAATGTTAATGTTATGTGGATGGGGTCGAAGAAGGGGTAAAACTGTGCGCCATTCGAGGTTGGAGTATGGTTGTAACAAACTCGTCATAAAATCCCTTGTGTTGCGGAACTTCAACTCTCCTCAGGTCATGGTAATGTTGCCGTTTCCGTCATGAATGAGCTTGAATGAGTTTTGCATCACATGAAGGCGATTCCCTGACTCTCAGTTTGCTGTTTGTCACAGCTCTCTCTCTCT